AAGAAACATGCTGTCGCTCTCTGTGGGCCACACAGACACACACACACACATGCAAGCTTGTGCTTTGGCAAGAGCCCAAACACCCTATGGCTGCAATCTATTCCCCATTTCACCCTGTTCTCTTTTTTGTTATCCCCTACTTTAACACTRCTTTTTAATCTGCCTGTACCAGTGACTTTGTCTTTTAACTCGACCAAAACTATGTCTCATATCTATATATAAGTTCTGAATCTTAGCAACAGCCAGTTATTCTTTCTTTCTTATTTGGTCTTAAAGTTCTTAAAGCCAGAGCTTTATCACATGAATCAACCGTATTTGTTTTTGCACCTTCACTGCTTTTCCTTTTTTGCATTAGTTCTCTCTGAGTGGGTTGCACAAGCTGTAGCTTCTCCAGTGACARAAAGGCACCACGTTTTACCAAGTCTGACCGAACTCCTAAAAAACACTTTTTTTTATATTTCTTTACACTCTCCTGTCAGCTGCTGTCACATCACTGAGAAACTAGGTCTTTTTTAAGAGCTCGAGTCCAGTGTACTTTAGCCACACCAACTTGTAGAAACTCATAGAAATTAGATGTGTAACATTTCTTGCTGATGTAAATTCTCAATTTATTTCCACAGATCTGTGTCCTCTTTCATTAAGTGCGTTTACGGTATAGAAAAGATCAAAGAAGCATTTCATCTTTTTCCATAAAAATAAGTTGCTCATCATCACTCAGTGCATGGTTCTCCAAATTTTCCATTTATTCTTYAATYAGTGTTTTTAACRTCTAATCWTAAGTTTTCCTCTAGGAAAGACTTTATTTTCTTCTTTTGACACAAACTTCTAATTGTGCCTGTTTGGTTTGTTTATGTGGGTGTGTTGTTATGTTGTTCTCAATAGTCATTTGTTGGATCATTTCCAGTTCTCGCTCCAAAGACGCACACTATGCTAATGTGGCTGTTTATGTGTGTGACTACTTGTAAGCTTTTACTGTGCAGGGAGGAAGAAGGTAGTTAGCATTTAGTAGCAGCACACTGCCATTCTTTTAACAGCTCTCACACACCTCATTACCTCTCCTAATGAGTAAGTAATCAGACACATTCCACCTCTGTATTTCTATCTTTTCTCCCTCTTTAAATGCGAGAATAAAATTTAGAAGAGTTGGGAGTATTTGGCTAAAATAAACAGTTTCTTATCGTGCAATCAATTCAAGAAATCAGGAAAACAAACTTTTTGCTTGGGTAGTAAATGGACTGCATTTTATAGCACTTTTTAAAACTGTGCTGAGCACTACAAGCTACATTCACATATTTATTCTGAGCTTTAAAGCAGGTTTAAATGTTTTCTTGGCTTTACTGTATGTGGATTTCTGTACAAGTACAGTCTGCAACAGAGTGATGCAATAAGAGTGAAATGCTGTGTAAGCAGCAGACGCCGTTTCTGCTGCTCTGAATGGGGTGTCTTGACTTTTTAAAATGTTTTTATATAACACTGTCAGACATTTCAGGCTGTTGTTTCTCTTCAAACTGAAGCTCTCCTTGAGCTCATGCAAATCAGCCYCGGTTCACCTTCAGAACAGTAAAAACAAAAGCACCAGTCTACATCACTAGTACAAGTTAGTTCACAAGAGGAATGACAAGGACGAAGAACGTAAACAGCAGCGGGTGGCACTGAATCAAAAAATTTAAAAAAAACATTCACGCTTTCACAGTCTGCAAGTTGTTAAAAATGCAAGTTTATAAATCACTGCCACCTTCACAGAAATTAAAACTAAACAATGAACACAAACTGCCATTCTAATGCTTTTAAACTACCTTTTTTTTGTTACTGTGGTTGACTGGTGCCAATAGATATCATTATGCCACCAAAGTAGGCGTTTGTTTGTAGGATATTTGTTTGGAGTATTTTTGCTCGAAGTCTGATAAAGATCAGTGGTTAATGACGGGAATCAGACAGGAGCCAGACATTACCTTCAGCTAATCTGCAGAGCAGGCGCCTTGAGCTATGTCTGATAGCGCTGCTAATTATTCCCACTAATGTAGAGATCCTTGTAAACAGCGGCTTAGTTCGTTGTCAAACTACTTTACACTAATTAAATAAYAATATTGTTTAGTCTTCCATAAGGGAGAGTTGAAAAAAGCTTGAAGTGTAGTTCATACAGAGAGGACACACCTGAAAACATATGTTTCCTCATCATTAAGGCAACAATGTGAATGAACTGTGAGCAGAAAAGCCAGGCTACGTTAATAAACTGCCCTCTTGCAAGGGATGTGGTTCAAGAAATGCAAACCAGGTCTAGTCCGTGTGAGGAGTGACGTAGCCGCTCACTTTTTTCWTTCGGGCGATGGCTCACACACCTGTAATCGTAAAAGTCTGGAGGGAACATCATTACAGAGCTGCCTGAGCGGTTTGGAGGCCTGGGCTGGGATTCAGCGTTGTTAGTGAGGGAGTCTGGAGCTGGTGAGCGCTACGAGGCATCGATAGTCACGGCGTATTTTCCACCCACTGAACAGAGCCGCGCAAGAGGTGGGACATCTGGAGGTGATGACCTCTGCTCCTTCTGAGGCTAAACTTCATCTGCTCCTGTGGTATTTCACAATCCGAGTTCCCCGAGGTTAGCTATAGTCTAAAGCAATGAGCAGACTCACATTCTGAGTCGGCGCTCACCGGCCAGAAATTCGACAGCAAGATGATTTTTCGCAAGAAACATTTTTTCTGGTATTACTCACCATTCAGTGCTTTCGAACTTACCATCCTGGGCTTTCCGCACAAGTGATGCATTATTGTGGTATTTGCTGAAGGACTGGAACATTAGATTTACAGTCAGAATTTAGTTTTAGAGACCATAGTGGCCAGCGTGCCTGTTTGTGGTGAGCGTCCTCATATAAACGTGTCTGTTTTTGCAGGGATAAGGGCTTCGCTCAAAATCAGCTTTCTAACTAATTTGTAATGTCAAACATGTTGAAGCCAAAACAGTTGGGTTTCAGCTTAGAAAATAACAGTAAGGGGCAACCACAGACTATGTAAAATATAGCGTGATGGTCTCCCACAGAAATGTTCTGTTTGCCATTTTGAGAATGTGTAAATGCAGAAATGTTGCATTGCTAAATTTAATTTTGCTCTGGCTCCCATCGGAGTCGAACCCATCAATAATTTTTAAAGACATAGAGCAGGCTGTGGAGTCCAGACCAAGACTGCTGTGATTTTTCTGTTAGATTTGATAGAGACGAGACTGCAGAAGGAAAAAGACGTTATATGTGAAYGCAAAATAGGCAGATCTAATATCAACCATTAGTGTATTAATGACTTTTTTGTTCTTTTTTTCTGGTAAAGCTTTGTTTCAGACAGACTTACATTTTTAAAGTGACCTGGGTACCAAATTCAATCAACCATCACCATAAATGGGAGTGTATAGAACACTCCAGCCAATCCCATTAGAGCGTGCTAACAGGATTATGGGGGTTTTAGCGTGAGGATTCCACCCTAGAGCTTTCATTTTACTACTTACACACAGCATTGTATTCATATCAGAGCCTTCTGAATCCAGCTTCTCATTCTGGTGTCTCCTCTTCCCTCCGTTTTATGTCCTTTCGCATTCAAGCGGTGTTAAAATGTCTTTTTGTAATCCACAAATGACCAAAGAGTAAAAAGACTTTCTCCTAAATGTCTGGCTGGAGATTGAGATGTCATTAAAAATGTGTCTCCACTGCAGACGTTTGGCATCTTAATACAGATGTTTTCTTTTGTTGTTTTTTTGAAAAAAAAAAAAACTTTAGAAGGTGAGAAGGCCAGTAAAGTCATTAGATTTCAGGGTTAGATAGACCAAACATCTTCCTCTAACTTGGAGCCACATCATTAGACGGCATCATTAAAGCCGGATGCTTCAGACAGAATCAGCTTTCAACTTTCAGACTGTTTAGACAAAAGAACAACAAATGAGACCAAAAGCAGTTTTGAATCGTGCGCCTGCCAGTGAGGAAACATGAACCGTTTTGATGTTTGGCATATGATTTAGCAAAATTTGGCAGTCCAGGAGGATTGATAGTTTATTGTCAGATAATTGCCTAAACTGCCTGCAGTGTAGCCCTAAATCTAAAAATAAATAAATAAATAAATAAATGAAAAATCAAATCTGCTAAAGAAAAATAACTCAAATTCTTCAAATGATCAATTAAAAAAAAGTTACCAGAGGGAGTGTGTTCTTTTTTAAACCCAGGCCGTGGATGCACAAGYTTCATTTACACAACTGTTATAACCGTCATGTATGTTTATACAATTTAAGGCAGAAGAATTCCTTTTTGATTTGATTCCACAAAAGACTCATTGCCATTTCAATGCACTCCATCTTTTTTTTGGAGCCGGATTGTAAACATGGAGCACGGCCAAACAGACTTTCAACATACAGTAATTGCAACATTTTATCCCATGAAATCAAACACATTCCAGTTTCAGTTGTGGTATAATTGTGGTTCTTTTAACTTGTGCTGTACCATAAATACACAACCTTTCACTTATTAGATACATTTCACAACTTCTCTATTTTGGCGTGTTGCTTTTAGCTATTTTTCATTCCATTAAAACAATGTTGGACTGGAGACGTTAGCTGTTGTAAGCACTGAGATAGCATCAGAAAAGTAAAATTCATCAGAGTGATATTCATAATGGTTGTTTTTTTTAAAGTTTAATAAATTTTGGGGTCTTTGTGGGTGACCACAAGTCTGATTACAGCTGTGCAAGCTGCAGAAAAATCTCTGACATCTTTGAGTCAGTGTCTTTATCTGTGTGCGTGACAGACTAAAGACTTGTCTAATTAAAATTATAACTTCCTGTCTTTCACTCACTCTCGTCTTTGCTTTTTTTAAACACCTAATTATTTAGGTGTCAAGCACCATACAGACACTATCTAATATAAAAAAGTTTGTCTTGAATTAACCTGTATTCCTTGACGATAATTRTTTTTGTAAAACCACACAAACCACAGATTTTGTTGTAACTCATGCCTCCTTCTGTCTCTGCAGAGATCTGAGCGAGAACCTCATCCAGTCCATCCCCAGGAAGGCGTTCAGAGGAGCCACGGACATCAAAAATCTGTGAGGACCAAACTCTGTAGTCGTTTGATGAAGTTTAACATCAGATTTTGGAAATTATTCACAACAAAACAAATAAAAAAATTGATAAGATTGTTTAGTAACTAATTGTTAAATTGTCCTGCATGCATTAGAAGTTGTGTTTTGGCTTTAGTGGTATTACATTCTGATGGATCTGGCAGTTCTACTATCTTAAATGAACATTACCTTTTCTCAGTCAGTTTGATTCCAGCAGTTAAACATTTGATCTTATCGTGTAAAAAGAATTCGTGAGAATAAAACATTTTGCTCACGTCGGTGTGAAAGCATGTTTAGCGGAGCTACTTATTAAGTACACTAAGTACTTTTCAGCTCCCCAAAGACAGCTTACAGAACAGGCTTTACATTTTCAACGAGGCTCACGCACGCTTACCTAGATTTATGACTCCTATCGATGCAGATGGAAAATAACTTAAGTCCACTTTTGCTGCTCTCGGGATTACATGAGCTGAGAAAAGTAAACCTGTATTGATTAACTATAGTCCATTAGTGTACGGCTTACTGTATCAATGATTACAACTGCTCTGCAGGGACTGAGCCATTGTCTTTGTGTGCCTTTTGTGTGATTCGCAGCCAGCTGGACAAAAACCACATCAGCTGCATCGAGGATGGGGCCTTCAGAGCTTTGAGAGGCCTGGAAGTCCTGTAAGTATCGGAACTGAAGCTATTTGTCCACTTCAAAGTTTCATTAAGGCTCTTAGTTAAATGAAGACATCGCTGTGGTTTGGTAATAACCATATGGAACAAGGATTGCATGTCATACATAACTCTAAGGGTCTCATGAGGTCGGCCGGCAGCATGAAGACCAAGCTCCATTAAGTCGCAGCTGACAGCAGGGTTCCACTCCATCACATTAACGCCCACCCCACCCACTACTCCACCTTCATCCAGCCTTCGGCATACCATCTGATGAGGAGGCTCTTCTGATAATCTCGCTCAAAAATCAGAGCAAGTGTTAGCTTTCCACACTGGAGCCTGTGATATGCTGTTTTTGAACATCTAGGTAATCATATCTTTTCAAAAAGACATAATTGTGGAGGCCTCCATCTGAAACAATAGTGAAAGGTGTGTTGGGAGGAGGAGGGGGGGACAAAAGCACTTTGACAGACTTGTTATTTTGATGTTGAAAGACGGCTTTGTAGGACTTAAAAGGTGGTGAAAGAATAAAAAAAAATATGCGAGTTGCTTTCATGGCGTGGATTAATGAATGTAGTGATAGGGTTCTGATAATGGTGTAAAAGGGCAGAGGGGGTTGTTTAGATGTGTGTAGGGGGARGAAGACAGCTTGTGTTGACAGGAGGAGCAGGTTGAAAAATGGTGAGAGGTTATTAGGCTGATTGAAATGACCTGATTTTTCCTTCCGCAGCTGATGCCCCGGGTTCGATGAAAGCGTGTGTGTGTGTGTGTGTTTTATGTTTCTAGCGCAAGTAGCTGGTGATGTGTTCACGTGTGTATTTGCATGCATGGCATGTGTGTGTGCGTGGGAGGTGCGAGGGCTCCCCATCTGTGTGAAATGAGGTGGTGCGTTCCCAGTGGGCCACAACGAGAGATGGATTTAAAGACAGAATGGAGAAGCCTGGCCTAAACAACTGCACTGACAACATGAAGGTTTTGTCTTTTCACAGAACGCTGAACAACAACAACATCAGCAGCATCCCCGTCTCCAGCTTCAACCACATGCCCAAGCTCCGAACTTTGTAAGTCACGCGTTTCTTTCTTCAAACGTCTTCTTTACGGGGGAATGGTTTAAAATAAATACATTGCAAATGTACCTCAGTGGGAGCTGACAGCTTCTGTCATTCCAAGCGCTTCCTGCATGGCAGCCAGAATCACCGCAGAACAACACAGAAATGTCTTTAGCGAATCCAGGAACCGTTGTGTCAGCCGTGGAAGGACAAAAACGAGCCCAGATAGATGCAAATAACCCCAGAAGCTCATCGTGTATCCTGGCTGCCAAAACTGAAATTAGGCACAAATTAAAACAATCATGCTTGCTAAAAGGCTCTGTTCCATGGCTCCGCTGGCCGTGTGGTGACGTTTTGGGTTTTTTTCGCTCCCCGTGGGGTTACATTATAGAGCTTCTCTGTTTGTGTGAACACTACGTGTCTGTGCACGTGGGTTTGCAAGTTAGCCTACATACACCAGACGTCCACCACACAGCAGGGAGAGCTATTCTGGACAGGCACGGCTCTGCGGGAAAACTGTGTTTGGAGGACTGGATTTAGAAATGTGTTCCTTTTTAGAATGTGCCTTTTACAATTGTCCGTGTAGCATGTCATTTGGTGTGTTTTGCCACAAGGATTGGACACGATGACTTGTGGGAAAGGACAAACACTTCTTTATGCTATTTTCATCTTGTGCTGGTGATAGCAAAATAGGAGCTCTTCAATAAATAAATCTATTTATTTTTTTCTCTCACTTTCCAGCCGTCTCCACTCCAACAATTTGAACTGTGACTGTCACCTGGCCTGGCTGGCTCAGTGGCTCAGACAGAGGCCCACAATTGGTCTTTTCACCCAATGTACCAGCCCTCCCGAGCTCAGAGGACTTAATGTGGCCGAGGTCCAGAAACATGAATTCAGCTGCTCAGGTAAGAGCTGAACCCTGTTACATTTCATGGTTTGGATTTTGTAATGTGTGCTGTTAATTTAGGGTTAAAGGGGCAATATCATGTAAAATCAATTTTTTAGAGTTTTATATCATGTTATAATGTTATACTCTCATAAAAAACATGCCCAAAGCCTTGCTTTGACCCATCCATGCATGTTTGAGAAATCCTGCAGCGTTTTTAGGCAGCCATGCTGAGAAGCAAAACAACAGGTGGGGACCAGAAATGYCCCTGGGACGTGTCTTTAAGCCGAACTTCCTCATGGCAGAGCGCACCCCCTCCCCACACACCCCACCCATGACTTCTGCAGGCTCTCGGGTGAAAGTGAAAGTGAAACTTAAACTGTCTGCTGAGCTCTCAACATTAGTTGTCACTCAGTGAAGCTCTTTTCAGATTAAAAATACCTTTGAGGAAATGTATTTTCAGATGCCAAGTAAACTGTATCATGGCAGACCCCCCCTTCCCCCCACGAGCCGAAATGGGTGAGACAGAAGCAGAAGGTGGTTCTTAAAGAGACAGAGGCCAATTTCAAGGCGTTTAGAAGAGGAAGTGATGAGAAGATGAGTTTATTTTCTATTTAAACATAAAACAGCGTTTTAATAACAACTAAAAGTGACAAAGATACTTTATTATGGTATAGTATTTAAATGTATGCCTGAGAAACACAYAATATTGGCCCTTTAAAACAAATTAGTTTCACATTTTCTCTTATTGTTTCTTCAAATGACTCATTATTGAAAAAAGTCAGTCCAACATGATCAACTACTTCTTATTGTTTTATCAGTGTGAGTGTGTTCACCTGGCAGCCACCTGTCTACTGCTCAGCCCCGGGGTGGCCTCATGGCTCGTTCTTGGTTGTTGCTTTTGTTTCTCACCGAGCTGGCAGTGATATTTGGCAAATGCCCACACAGCTGGAGCCCAGACTGCCCTCAGTCTCAGCAAGACTCCCCCCTCTCTCTCCTTGGCTGATTGTTTATTTCCATTCACGAGGATTATTAGGATAATCTTTTTTTGTGTGTGTTTTATGTGGCTTTAGGACGACGTTTCTCTCTCGCAGTGCATGTAGAGGAGAGCGTGTGCACGTGGGAGGGTCACGGTGTGTGTTTGGGTTATCGTATCTGAACAATGGATAAAAAACAGCATGAGAACCTCCTCCCCACACAAGGCCATCCCACTCATAACACCAGCTGCAAGGGGTGTTTGTGTCTGCATTTGGGTGTGTTTTCAGGTCTCTGTGTGTCTCTCTTCTCTCTCTCTCTCTCTCTCTCTCTCCCTATGGGTTGTGATTTTTACGCAGTCATACACCGTGACAGCACAGATCATTAACTATTCATCGTCCAGGGAGAGAGACTCAAAGCGTGGGAGTGTAACCATTCCAGATAGAAAAGTTGGCGCAGACAAAAGTTGGTTTTGAAAGATACAGAAATTTATGCTTTTGTCTTCTTAACAACTGTAGCTCATTCTCTGAAATCTGAACTTATAAAACGGGTTTGACTTAACAGTTTCCAGCATTAAGCTGCTGACTCARGTGAGGTTCTTGACTTGTATTGTTTTATCATTGAAGTAAAAGTGATGTAGAATAACAGATTTAAAGTGATCAACATAAAACAGCAGAAAAAATAACACTTGTTGCTGTGTATAATTTCTACATGTGCAATTTTATGCATCCATGCAAACAAAACCAAACACATACTGTTTTTATTTATTTGCACTCTAGAGAATATGTGACCAGAAGTTGAACTATTTGTGAAGAACTCATTAGAGGCTGACTCTTTGGCAAACTCACATATATTTTTTTTTTCTAATCTCTTTTTAAAATGAGTACAAACAGTATTTGTTTGTGCATGTTACGTTGGAGTTGTCACCAGACAAGGCCACCTGTGGGGGATTTGGGGCAGGGTGGGGCTGTGTTAGAAAAGAGGATGTTGATGAAGAAGAGAGTTGCTGTTGAATTAGGTGGGAAAGGGGAACAAAGGGTGCACCGGAAAAATTTGTCTGAGTAAAAAAACAAAAAAGATAAATCCTTCCTCGGTCTCAGCAATATGACATACTGTCTTTTCCTCTTCTTAGTTAGATTATTATTATTATTATTATTATTATTATTATTATTATTATTATGACCCCCGAACGTGAAGTGTAAGTGGGAGTCATATTGTTTTTGTGCTGGGGTTTTTTTTCAGTGATTTTTGGTCGTAAAAATCTGGTCGTAGCACAAAAACAGCTGCACCGGTCAACATGAAACTTGGCAGGTCTGTAGATGAATCTGACCTACACTGCGCCAGCCAACGGTTTTAAGATAGACCTCATATTTGAGGAGAGGGCTCCATCCAAAGAGGGGGTGTCTGGACATGCAAAAATGCTTATAACTCGGAAACTACACAAGAGCTTCAGATTTCTTTTGTTGTTTAGCTCTGATGAAGCTCTATCCATCAGGCCCACCAATCAGTGCCCCCAGCCCCGGACCCCCAATTTATCTGAAAAAGTGGTATCTGGACATACAAAAATGGTTATAGCTATATAAAAAAACTATCAAACTTAGGAGCTTCTGATTTCCTTCGGTTGTTTAGCTCTGATGAGGGGCTATCCATCAGGTC